CAACTCGTCAATCAGATTGTGTGAGAAGACGTCCTAATTGGCACTCAGATTATGTTATAGAAGGTAATATTGCATACTGCCTTTTAACAGAGGACGGTGAACCATCAACATACCAGGAGGCAATAAACAGCTCAGATGCTTCACTATGGATGATGGCGATGCAAGAGGAAATTGAAGCCCTTCATAAAAATAATACATGTGACCTTTTGCCACTACCACAAGGAAGGAAGCCAATTGGTAACAAATGGGTCTTCAAAATCAAGCGAAATAGTGACGATCAAGTTGAGAGGTATCGTGCAAGATTGGTGGTCAAAGGATATGCTCAAAAAGAAGGTATTGATTTCAATGAAATATTTTCTCCTGTGGTTCGACTAACAACAGTTCGAGTAATTTTGGCAATGTGTGCTACATTGAACTTACATCTAGCAGCTAGATGTTAAAACAGTTTTTTTTCATGGAAATCTTGAAGAAGAGATTTACATGCTCCAGCCTGAAGGTTTTGAAGAAAAAGAAAAGAAGAACTTGGTTTGCAGGTTAAACAAATCTCTGTACGGTCTAAAGCAGGCGCCGAGGTGTTGGTATAAGAGATTTGATTCCTTCATTATGTGCCTTGGATACAACAGACCCTTGTGCTTATTTCAAGAAGTCTGGTGATAACGATTTTGTTATATTGTTGTTGTATGTGGATGACATGTTGGTTGCAGGACCCAACAAAGATCATATTGACGAATTGAAGGCACAACTGGCTAGGGAATTTGAAATGAAGGACTTGGGATCAGCAAACAAGATTCTTGGAATGCAAATTCACCGAGACGAAGTAATAAGAAGATTGGCTTACAAAGAATTACTTGAAGAAGATCTTGTCACGATTCAGCATGCAAGATTGTAAGCCAATTTTACCCCTCTTCCTATTAACTTCAAATTACCTATAGTATGAGTCCTAGCATGAAGAAGAGAGGATGGATGTCTCGGTACCGTATGCATCGACAGTGGGAAGTTTAATGTTCGCTATGATATGCACAAGACCAAACATTGCACAAGCAGTGGGAGTGATTAGTCGGTACATGGCGAATCCAGGCAAAGAGCATTGGAATACAGTAAAGAGGATCCTGAGATACATCAAAGGGACCTCAAATATTGCATTATATTACGGATGATCAAACTTACTAATAAATGGGTATGTAGATTCTGACTATGCAGGGGATTTGGATAAAAGTAAATCTACTACATGATATATGTTCAAAGTTGCTGGTGGAGCTGTAAGCTGGGTTTCAAAATTGCAGTCAGTTGTGGCTACATCCACAACAGAGGCAGAATATGTAGCAACTACACAAGCCAGTAAAGAAGCAATTTGGTTGAAGATGCTATTGGAGGAGCTTGGGCACAATCAAGAGTATGTCTCTCTGTTTTGTGACAGTCAAAGCGCCTTGCATCTAGCAAGGAATCCAACATTTCATTCAAGGACAAAGCACATACGAGTTCAATACCATTTTATTCGTGAAAATGTGGAAGAAGGAACGGTAGATATGTAGAAGATCCATACCAAAGACAACATAGCATATTTCATGAAGAAGACGATCAATGCCGATAAATTTACTTGGTGTCGATCCTCTTGTGGCCTGTCAGAGACGTAAGCAACATGAAGGTACAAGGTAGAAAGAATGATGTGAATATATGATTGTTCCAATCAAATATTCAAGTGGGAGATTGTTGAAAATCCACCGAAAGGTGGAATTAATCCACCAAAAAGTGGATTTAAAATCCACCGAAAAACAAATTGTCAAAAAGGGTTGGCTAATTGTTGAAAATTAGCAATGATATAATTGTATATTTTAGTCATTGTAATTTAGGGTATTTACAAATTAGTCCTTAAGCTTCGACTATAAATACCCTATCTCATTTAACTTCAAAATCATCCCAAAGCATTCTAGCTTTCTTCTAATACTGGAGAGAATTTAGAGAGTTTCTTGAGAGTTGTTTTCTCCTTTTTATCAAGAGAGAATTATCATTGTTTTCTCCTTGGTAGATAGAGAGAGATTATAATTCCTATTTTCTCATAGTGAAATTCTTCTACCGTTGCCTGTGGTTTTTACCCTAAATTTTAGGGGTTTTCCACGTAAATTTTGTCTCTTTTATCTTCATTTTTATTTTCTCAAATTATCAGTTACGATTTTGCTCTATCCGATAGCCGTCTTCCGCAACAATGCCCTTCCACACCAAAATAGGAGAAGAATGCTTGCATGTTCCTTGTTAGGGGGAAAGGCACCGGTTCACTAAATTCAATAATTTCATTCGCATCATATATGCAGGATGAAAATCTGTCTGGAATATCTTCCCTGTGCTTTTCACAAATAAAATTTTATTTGGAGACCTTCCCCCTATTTGTAGCATGAAAGACATGAAATTCGACCGGGCTAACTGGACTGCGTATTCCATTTTGAAAGCCCAGATCTGATTTCCACTTATCAGGGTCATGTACATGTATTGGGAAAAAAAAATACCTTCCATTGCAAGATTTTTTTTGTTGTATATGCTTGTAGGTGGAGATCTACCACAGCTTCAGGGGAGATTTGCCCCAGTATGGCTTGGTTTAATTGCTGCTTGAAGTAGGTAATGGGAAGATCTGCCTCTCCATCATTTCTTGTAGTGGTTTTCATATACCTCAAGGAATGTGCTGTACATCAAATCATCTTCAACCATGCACACCTGTCAAAAAATAGAGATCATTCTTATATGTTGGTGGAAATAAAACAGGAATAACATGCTGGAGTAACCGCTTTATGCAGGTCCAGTCTTGTCCTGTCTCCATGGATGCAAAGCTATAAAATGTTTCCTACATGATATCTACAGAATTTTGCACGCTTACACAGAACTATAAGAAAAAAATCAAGGGAATAGAGATATTATCATGTAAGACTATAATCACTTGTGACCAAACAATCGGTGTGTGAATGCATAGATTCCTTGTGCTTATTGAACATTTAGTTCATTACATGGAAGAGCTGCAATATCCGCTCATCACTTCTAGCATTAGGAGTCAAAGCTGCTTTCATGCCTTGTAACAATGTGTATATCATTTCCAACACAATCTAACTCTACATGGTGATCAGGTGCACTTTTCTGGAGGTCCAAGAGATGATTAGTTTAACTAGAACAAGGACACAAAGTAATTACAAAAAGTTGCAAGTCAACACTGGTGTGTATATAACATATTTGGATTGTCTGCAAGACTAGAATGGCGAACTTCTGCTGTAGTAGCAGCTGTTGGGTACCTGTAACAGCGGTGCAGCAATTCATTAAACGATATTGATGGAAGAGTCTTGATAATACTTGGTGAAAAACTTGAAGAAAAGATGGAGAAGCTACAGATAATTTAGGATTATTTTATGAAAGCTTAAAAAAGAAAAATGAGGGTCTGTCTTTAAATTTTTTTTCTTCAATACACTAAGTAATTATAAGGTAATATATATTCAAGACTTATTTAATCTATTGATAATAATATACACACATTTTACACGTACAATTGTTTGAAAACAGAACTTCAAGAGAGAACAACAATCCATTTTACTATTGAGATCATTTGATAAATAAATCTAAATTGATAGTATCGTTATTTGTTATTATTAAAAGGCTTAATCTAAAAATGTCCAAATTATATTTCTTTTTTTATTTAGGTGCTTAAATATTTGTGGTTAATATAGATGTCCAATGTTACAAACATTATCAATTTAAATGTCTCAACTATAACAGTTGTTAAAAGATTTTGTTAAGTAACACACGTTGCTTTTATATAATTATGAAATTTTTATTTTTTAAAAAACTTAAAATTATTAATTTTTTCAGAAAAATTCATTTTTTCTCTAAAATCTAAAAAAAAATTAAATCCTTAAAATCCTTCGTTCTAAACCTTCATTATCACCATCGGCCATCTCTGACCATCATCATCGAATAACCATCTATCGATTGTCACCCACCCATTAACTGGCATCGACCCCAAACTCCTAAACACTAATTTGAAATCCATAATTTTAAACATTAAATATTTGCTCCTTACCCTACTCGTCGTTCATTAACTTTTTTTTTTGAAAATCAAAATTGTGAGAATTGCGAATGAATCGGGAACGGGGGAGGGTTTCACAATGAACGGGGAAGGGGGGAAATTATCAGGAGGAATTTAAGAAATGATTTTTAATACTTTTATTTTTTAAAAAAGTAAATTTTTAAAATTAATCATCTAACGAATTTTTTTAACAACCGTTATGATCGTGACACTTAAAATGATAATGTTAGATATTTACACTGACCGTGAAAAATTTAAACAATTAAATGAAAAAAAGAGAGTACATTTTAAGTATTTTTTATATTAAGCCTTGTTGAAATGATAGTGTAAATTTTTTAAAGAAGTAATCTTAATTATTTATTTTTTTAGAATTTTTAAAATTAACCTTAAAGATTTGATTGACAGAAGATGTAATTTTAATAAAATAATCTTAAAATTTTGGTAGAATTTTTAAAAATAACCTTCATAGAAGATTAACTAAATTTCTAGTGATTGTTTGCAATAGAAAAACAATATATATATATAAAAAGGAACAAATGCAGCATTTGCTAGTACAAGTATGTAAATTATAAGTGTTGAAAATCTTCATAATTTCTCACATCTTTTTAGTGCCATGAATGACGAAACAATTGAATCACAAGTTCTTAGAAAAAAGTATAAAAATTTGAGGTAGAATGGCCAGTATATGAGCGACAACTAATGGCTAAAAGGAGGGTCATAATCAAAGAAATACATGTATGGAGGATCCAACCACCCATAACTAATAAAATTCCAGTGAAGTGGACGCGAAGAAACTACCCCCAATACTAATTATAACTTTCCATTAGCTTCCTCTAAGTTCAACTAATTATCATCCAACTCCATTACTAACCACCTTCCATTCATCACTTTCCTTGTATGTCTTAAAAGGAGATCCCTGTGAATGATTCATTCCACTGGAGCTGTCATTTCTCCCCAAGTCATGGAAACCGGAGATGGCGGTGGCGTTGTTGTCGTTGGACGGGTGGAGATCGATACCAGAGCACCCTTTCGATCAGTTAAAGAGGCTGTCACGTTATTTGGAGAAAAAGTCCTGGTTGGTGAAATTTATGCCAACAGGATCAAAGAGGTTTTTCTCCATACTTTTGAGTACTATATTATATTATGTTATTCGAACTCGAATATTTGAAGGATAATATCTCGTATTCATCTCCGAATATGTGTTCTGTTAGATGAAAGCTCAAGCAGGAGAAAGTGGGAAAGGTGAATCCAAGATTGCAGCCTTAACAGCCGAGTTAGTAGAAATAAAGCAAAGCTTGCAAAAGGCACAAGAGGAAAACAATTCCATGTCGTATAGCATAAAAACTCTGAGAGAAGATCTTGAACAAAAGAAAAAGGAGCTGCAACAGTTGAAGGCAAGAGAGCTCCACAGGCAACGGTTCGACCCCGATATAGAAGACCTCAAATTCATCGAAAACAAGACGATGACACGAGATGAAGAGCCGCATGATCAGTTCCAAAAGAAGAGATACGTGAAATTCGCTAGCCCTCCGTCATTAACCCAAGTCATTGCCAACAAAGACAACATGCCAGAAAAAACAGACAGGGTTATGAAACTTAGAAGGAAGACATTTATCCCAATTATCGGATGGCTATTTCCTAAGAAGAAAGCAAGCCAAGAAGATGATCATCACTCCCTAAGAGCAAACGAGGTCCAGAGGCATTTTTAGCTGAGACCATGCACAAAAGATTGGAGCTTGTGTAATAAAACTAGCTTAGTGTTACATAAAATTTGGAGTGTGATTCATTTTTATGAATACCACTTATTAAACTTCTTTACTGTTGTCACTTTCTCCCTTCATCTCTACCCTAACTCGACCGAAGAACAGTTCAATACACATGGGGTTTCAGTATCTGTTTGTACTGATAATAGAACACAGAATCATACAAACTAGAAGAACAATTTCATGTCTGGTTAAAAGTAGGTAAAAGAACAATGGATTCTTTGAAAGTCGGCAAGTCGGCCGAATTGAATTTTAATATATGTGCGCTGAGTGATGAATATTTGCACATGTAAGCATGTGAACCTTGTAGAGTTCCAGTTAAGACAAAATGTTTGCTAATCTGTTTTTAAAAAACTGATTAAATTTACAAGCAAAACCCAACATTCTAGTCACGGATTAGTCTTGGGGAACATTTTCAATTCTCATATTATTAACATACTGAAGCAACTCTTGAAAAATACATTGTTTATTTACCCTGTTTTCTGGAATATTTGTCCAGGTATGCATATATTATGAAGTTTTTAAGGTTCCATTAAAAAAAACTCGATGATGTAATTGAGTTAACTCGGTTTTTTGTTTATGAAAAAAGAACTAACAATGTCAAAATACAAGCGGAAATCTTGGAGATTCTACAACAAGTAATAAATAAGAGGTAATATGTATTTGTTTACTTTTATGACCTAAGCTACATAACAAAAAGCCATGCATATAAACAAATTGTCAGCTGCATCAGATTCTTCTATAAAAGAACTACATTATCAAAGGCAAAGGAGGACCAGAGAATAGGGAGAAAACCAAAAGCAGCTCCAAGATAATGAAGAGCGGTTTTTTTGCATGCCGGGGTTCAAAGGCAACAACAAAAGCAAACGTTTATCGACGACGACCCTTCTAGAACGATTCTGAGAAGCAATATTTCGGCTGATAACGATATCAGCTCTCAGCAAGGTCTCACATCATCATCATCATCACACGTAAACATTACCCTGCTGATGCTCACCACGGCGAAGCTGTTGCAGATTGTATTGAATTCATCAAGAAGTCTTCCAGGGAGGAGAACAGGGACTCCAGAGATGGCAGTTCAAACATGGATGGCATTAATGAAATAGTCATGCCAGTTCCTGTTATGTGATATAATCAATTTTCATGAATTTAAAGGCGAGTTTACTTTATGTGAAACTTCTGGTTTTAGTTTGCAGATCTGGTTAATGTATAATTTGAGGTGTGTGAGAATGTAGATTTGTAAATTGTGTACGAAAAATTTTCAGGGAGTTTGCAGAATCTTTTTACTCTTTTTCATTTTTATATTCTCTGGTTTTGTATAGGTTTGAACTTTGAATTTGTTGAGTTTGTAACACTTAATTTGTAAATCCTAAAACAGGGCTAGTGACTAAAACGTGAATTTTGAAAGTTTTGTGTTTAATTTCGAAATAAATTAAAAGTTCAGGGATTTTATTGGAAACATTTTGTGAGAGATGGTTTAGTAAAGAATGAAAGAAAGAAGGGTAAAATGGTCATTTGACAAAAAAGATTTTTATCTTTCTTTTTGTAGGCTATATAAACATGGGACAGGAGGGAAAGTTTCCTGAGAACTCCCCATTCTTCTTCTTCTTCTTTCTCTTTACCGTGAGAGCCAAAGTAAAGGTAAGTTGATTTCATCTTGTTAATTCCTTGAATTTATAGGTTGGGTTGGAATAATTGGGTGTTATATAAGCTTAATGAAAGCTTATATAAACTTAAAACAATAAGATGAGTGAATTATGATGGTATTTGTAAAATGAGTTTTAAAGATGAATTTTGATATGATTTGGATTTTAGGGTTTTGATGAGATTTTTGACTTGACATAAGAAGAATTAAGAAGTCTAAAGCATTAGAATTGAATTTGGATCATGTTGATATTTTGGTATGATTCTTAGCTTTAAGAATTTGGATAAAATATGAGGGATTATAAGGTGTTGGAATGCTAGAAATTACTTATAATGGTTATAGATGAGTTTGATAACATAATAAAAGGTTTATACATGAAAATTTGGGTAAATATTGAGGAATTTCGGGTGAAAATAGCCTATTCTGGGCAGGTGCATCGATACACTATGAAAATGTACTGATGCACTAAGACCAATTTTGAAGGTGCATAGATACATTAAGGGGTGCATCGATGCATGGGTATTTCGAACCTAATTTGTGTACCGATGCATCCATAATGCATCGGTACACCCCTAAAGGAAAAAGTGAATATTGGTCTATTAAATTCGTTCAAGTTATTAGCATCAAATTACAAGGTGTAGATATCTGATAATTACCTTAAAATATATATTTATGTAGATATCGAGCACGAACAAAGTTCCGGAACGATCATCAAGTTAAGATTCAATCGAAAGAAAGGAAATCAAAAAAGTGGATTGGAACTTAATGAGGCCAAGGTGAGTGCATATTAGTTAGCTTATGGTGCTAAATGGAAACAAGACTTGCGACAAGTCTATTTCCTATGTTAGAATGCATGAATATACGATTATACGTATATGAATGACATGAATTGTATGTATGCTTGATTATATGTGTTAACATGCTTTTGAATGTAATGATATGAGAAGTATGTGCTATGTGATGTATATATATGAACATATGCAAAATTGAACTATGTGACTGCATGAGAAAGATATGAGCCATATGACATGATATATATGAACATAAGAAAACAAAGTATAAGATATGAGTTATGTGATCCTATGAGAATAAGAAAAGAAGCTATGTGACTACATGTATATGTGAAAGAAGCTATGAGCTAATATGACATGTGATATGAAAGTGTATATGTGAAATGATATAAGTGAAAATGCTCATGTTATATGATACGAGAGCTATAGGTATAGTTGGCATACCAAGAGTCGAGAGTCTACGCGGTCCTTCGGGACATACAGTGATCCTTCGGGATATTTCATAGTGGTCCTTCGGGACAAAATTTCATAGCCCCTAGTGGTGACATCATAGTGCACAACCTCAATAGACTCACATATCTACAATTCTCATAGGTGTACATGGGCTAATAAAAGATAACATTAAATACAATGTATGTGATATATATATATATGTGTGTGTGTGTGTGTGTGTGTGTGTGGGTGTTGTGTGTGTTTTGTGATATGAATTATATGATATGATAAATGTGTGTTAGTGATTATTGTATATGTTATAAGATATATGATATGAACATAATAGATCATATAAACAAGAGAATAGAAATATGAATGGTAATAATATGATAATGATAGGAAAGAAGATAATTATATGCATGTGTGGATTTGATATATGAATGAATATATGTTTGGGTATGATGTGATAACAGTAATTGTTCATGCATGATTACAAGTTATAGTTTACATTATATGTTTATTGCCTCACTAAGTCATAGACTTAGCGTGTAAGTGATTTACACGTAGGTTTCAAGAAGAGTAAAGAGCAATGTGGAACAAGATAGGTCAATTCTCCTTATTGAAGGTCAGATCAGAAGAGAGGTGAATAATATGTATTTTAATATATAGAGTTCTAGTTGGCATGTATTCAAAAGAATATATTGTATAAGTTCTGAATAGTTTTGTAAACGTTTTGAATAAGATATATGTTATAAAAGTTTTAAAATTACTCACTATTTTATACAAGTAAATGTTTTGAAAAGTCAATGTAACACCTCGGACTCATATTCAGGTCGAATACGGGTTGAGGGTGTTACAGAATCAGACAGACAACACAAAACCTACAGATAGTAGGAAAATCAGCTATAAATGTTGACCAGATCGATTGATTCCCAAACAAGTTAAAAGAAACATTACGCAGATTTCATGTGTATATATAACCTCAGCTTTTTGACATTTATATTTCTCTTATCTCGGATTGTATGTCCATATATTCTTCTTATGTCTAGATCAGATATGGTACATTTTTTACATAACGAATGGTTAGTATTTAAACCCATGGTGCTATATACCAACATTTCACCAAGCGTTGACCAAACCTTAAAACTCAATAGAGGATCGTTTGATCTTATCACTTGAAAAAGGGCATTTCCAAGAGAAGGATTATATCCTTATGCCACAGTTAGGGCGTAAAAGAATTTTCTTTGAATCAATAAATCTTGTTCATATTCGTTTGTTTAATTTTAAAGATGTGTTTATTTTTGATTCACGTTTTTATTATTTTTGAAGGTATTCGTATTCAGTTCATCTAGCATATTAACATGTTCGTCAACCAACACTCTTCTTACTTTTGATTTGCTAACTAAAGAAATATGGTGGAATTATATCAGTAATCCTTAAGATCCTTAGATTTCACAGTTTGAACTCCAAAATTTATTTTATCTTCAATTTAATCCTTATTTTCACAAATATTTAAAATGTACAAAAAATAAGAACCAAATAATTGACCTTCTAAATGATTCAATAAACAAGTTTGTTCGTAAATGTAAACGAGTTTATTCATGAACAAAAACAAACTTATAAACGAGCCAATAATATGAGATCATTTGTTCGTATATGTTCGTTTATTAAATTAAAATAAAAAATTATATTCATACTCGTTTATTTAACTTAATAAACAAACATTATACGAACAGTTCGTCACGAACAATTCGTTAAACCCTCTGTTCATTTATACCCCTATCCACAACCCAATTCACAAGACTAGATACCATCTCGATGGGAAAGTAAATGACTCTTAAGTACAAAAATAATGATGAGAGCACATTTAATCTCAAATCCTCGAATTGGTTTATTTAATAAATGCTAAGAAACTATTAAGCACATCGTTTTATACAATTACAAACCTCAATGAGAAAAAGGAAAACAAAGCACACAATCTCGTGCTTCTTGTAGCTAAAAGTGTCCATTATAACAACAATACAATCTATGGGGTTTCAGCAGCTTCCACCCGGGTCAAGCCAACCTTAAGTTCGAATCAAGAGACCAGTTGTGAATCTGAGCTATGATTTTTCAGAAATGTGACATCACAGGCGCCCTCTAAAGTTACAAGCTAACCCTATTACTTAAGTCCGCAATCCATTCAAGGGCTTCAAAATAAGTAAATAAGATTTTATACCACTCACAAATACTAAAATAATCGGTAACTAGAACGGAAAAATAATCTCCACATTAGACATGCAGCAACTCATCACCTACTCTGATTCACTGCGAACCTTCTCTTATATGAAAAGCCTCTTCGTGGCTGGGTTGAGGATCGACGTTCAGATTGTTCATTACTCTCTGTAAAGCCCTTTGCTTCCCCTCTTCTAAATGGTTGAGTTTTTACACGGCGTTCATATATAGGTGAATTTATTCCCCTTGGTCTCTGTGCACCGATTGTTCATTACTCTCTGTAAAGCCCTTTGCTTCCCCTCTTCTAAATGGTTGAGTTTTTACACGGCGTTCATATATAGGTGAATTTATTCCCCTTGGTCTCTGTGCACCGAATGATCTAGGTGAATTTAATCCCTTTGGTGTTTGTGCATCATATGACAGTGGTTCAATGCCTTGCAAATCAGGTTCTGGAGTATATCCTATTGGTCGTTTCAACTCATCCATTCTCCTAAATGTGATTGATATCCTAATGGAAGCAATACAGCAGAAAGTTCAAAGAACAGAAGTTAACAATCGTCACAACAAACAGGAAAAAGATCACAAATTTGAACTTTACCTCTTAGTAGGAACTGCGGGCACACAATGCTTAGCAATGTCTGCTCCATTTCCATTTAAAACCAGAACTGACCTGAGAGGAGAAATAACTGATTTTAAGTTTTTAACTCAATAGTTGTAAACAAACGATGATTACATTACTTGAGTCTATAGAGAGATGGGATCTTTAGTGCATGTAAAGAATCTTACCCCACAGGTAGAGGAATTGCAATTGGCCCAGAAAACTCACCAGCATCTACAGCTTTCAAGTTTGACCCAAAAAGTATATTGCACTCACTAAGAAATGATACAGTACAGAATGGTCTAACAAAATCATGGTTGTCAATGTGAGGAGGTATGCAGTCGCCTTCTTCATATATATTGACTATACAACTGTCAGGCACACAAGTCTCAGGAAGCACATGCCATCTGACCAGCCGTCTAATTATCACCTTGAAGAGATCGGGTATAGGATCTACAAATTCATTTTGAAGAATCCCAGGTGGGTTACCATTTTTGTCCTGCCACCAGAAGGAAAACATTATAAAGCTTTTTAAACGCATATAACCACTTCTTGTGACTACAGTGTCTCCAGACACCAACTAATCTTCACAGTAAAACATGGATACATAAAACCTTACCACTGCATAATTGTAACAGCAACCAAATTGGATGGTTACGCGTCCTTTTCCCCGCATCCACTTTTGCGGTGCTGTATATGTGCGTTCTGTAGAATATATTCCACAATGAATAAAATATATATCCTTCAACATCAATTAATTAAATGTGATTCATTGTTTTAAACAAAAAAATACTGAGAAACCATTAATTTGAAAGATGACATATCAGCAAGTTGCACACAAGGATAACATAATGCTACAGAACTTTCCAAATGCTCCATTGAAATGCTAAAGCTCATTTGATGGCCAATAAGAGGAGTATTCTTCAACATCAATTACTTAAATGTGATGCATTGTTTTAAACATAAATTTTGATAAACTATTAATTTGAAAAGATGACATATCAGCAAGTCGCACACAAGGAAAAAAATGATATTACAGAACGTGATTCTATATACTCCATAGAATTGCTAAAGTCATCTCATCCAATGACCAATAAGAGGATTAAAGAAGCCTACAAGTCTCCTTCATAACTTGATTTTAGAAATATCATGATTTAAAACTAGCCTCTGGGTGATCCACTAAGATATAAAAAGAGGAAGCCTCTACATACAAAAAAAACAAAATCATGGTAAAAAAATTGAAGTACAACCCATAGAATCCATGATCAGAATGAGAATTGAATCACCCAATCAGATTCTTCTTGGATTGACATATACGAGAAACATCTGAGAAGCCCAAAAATGATTCATGGAGAGAACTGAATCTAATTAAATAAATCTATTTCTGACCTAACTAATTAACCAAATACTTATAGTCCAATGTTGAATAATAGACAACAAGGAAACAAAGAGTATACCAACAGGACTTGAACAAAAATGTACTGCATACTTTGTATTTGCATGTGCTCCTTGCTTGAATGTTATTTATGCTAACACATGACATGAAATTTGCTACTTTCTATACATTTCTATCGAGTTAACCATTATATTATAACATGCTCATTAAGCCTCCAAAAAAGAACCCTAGTCAGAGAAACTACTCAAGAATAAAAAAGCATATTCACGAATCAAAGAACATATTGCGTATGCACTCAACAATACAATCATATGAACAGGATTAGCAATATGTAAATACTAACCTTTCAACTCTCCTTTTCTCCCCATCTCCTGAAGCATATAAATATGATCAACTATCCTCTTTTGTTCTGCAGCACTGAAAATTCCCTCATGGAGTTCAAGCCCCTCGAGAATATTTACAAACTTCCCGTTAACTCTCTCAAAACATATAAAATCTTTCTTCCTCTTCACACTCATAAACCTAATGTACTCTCTCTGATCCCTAGGCAATTTAGGCTTCTCTACACCCTTAGATATCCTCAACTCCCCAGTGGCAGCAGTTAAACTAACAATCCGCTTGCTCGACTCTGAGCCCAGTTGCTCTTCTTCTTCGTCTTCTTCTACTCCCTCAAGCTCATCGTCCTGTGCCATGTCTGCCCATGATAGACGGGGAGCCGGGGTTTGAACCAAAGGCAACACGCTGGCAACTCCACCACTAGTGGATGCTTCTCCAATGGGTTCAGACAATCCATTTTCCCCATCTTTCCAACTACCCAATGAGTTGGTATCATCATCTTTTGAACTTCCAATCGAATTGACAGCACAATTATCATGAAGATTCTCATTTAATTCTTCTGATTCAGTATTGTTGGGAGTAGAAGGGATTGCATTCAGATCAGGGTTGGCCAGCCCAGCATCTCCTTCAAGTTCCACAATAGCAAACAAAAACCATGAATTTCTCTCTTTTTTTATACACATATCCATACAAAAACCCTCATTGCAGCAGTCATGGACAAGTAAAATAAATCGAAGATTATAATCTATTCTTATTTACTTTAAATCCGAATTATAAAGGACAATTAGCAAAGGTCACTTGTTTTCAGTTAAAAAAACTATATCAATAAAAGAAAGCTGCAATCATGAAATTTTATAAGGAAAAATCTGAGTTTGAACTTAATTAAAGCTCGAAACATGACAATGCTAGTAAAAGGAGGTTACCTGGGTCTAGAGAGCGGATTCGTTGGGAGAGGGTTTGGGTGCATCGGTGGCAGAGATCTCTGGAAAGGAAAGGTAGCCACGTGCTTAAGAACTCGGAGGCGATTCTGAGTTCGGACGGCTGATACTTGACCAGAAACGGGTCTTCCTTCTTGACTCGCTCCGGATCGTTCATTGGGTTGTCCGAGTCTTGAATCGGTGAAGAGAGAGTTGGATTCTTGTGACGGAAAACTTAATATTGTCACAGAGAACAAAGTGAAAAGAAAATTTCGTGAGTATAAAGAGAGCAGGTTATCGATGTTGTTTGAAGAATCTTCAAGGTGTTTATGGTAATTTTGGTTCTATGGATATATTGGGCGGAGGTGGTTACTCTCTATATCAAGACTGACATTGGTTTCATAATTTTGATTTAATTCAATTTGGTTCATGAAAAATTATATTAATTTTAAGTTTTAACATTTTATTTTCATTTTGATGAGTTAATATTGTTTTATAACTCTTTATATAATTTCTTTTAAATAATTAATTTTTAAGTAAATAAAATTGGGACATGGAAGAAAATTTTCAATTTTTTCATTTATTTCAATTGTGTCTAAATCTTTTTTTTGGCAATTTAAATCTTATACTTTTATTTGTTTTCTTTCAAATAAGATCCTTTTGGATAGTTAATTTGACCAACGTTCTTGTTGACTTGACATAGAAACATTAAGGACGCAATTGAAAAAAAGAAACAAGCGTCATTGAAGGCTTTTATCATTATGTCTTTTATTACTTTTGGTTTATATTTTTATTTTGAATTTGTAAACTTATTTTATAGTATTATTTGTTTATATAAAACAATTTTATTATGAAATATGAAAAATGCATATAAAACAAAATTAAAATAAAAGAAATATGAGATTATAAATAAGAAAATAATAAATTATATTATAATATTTTTCAATTTTCATAATTACAATTAAGATTTATAACCATAATTGTAAATTAAAGATATAATTAGGACATTTTTATTATAATCATTGACACAAAATTAGTCACTTTAAATCACATAAGGTCATACAAGGAAAAAGATAAAAATATAATAAAAAAATTCGAACAAAATATAGATACGAATATATTTGAATACACCGATGAACGAATCACAACACATAGAGACCATACAAGGAAAAAGATAAAAATCTAATAAAAAAACTCAAATAAAAGATAGATACAAACATATTTGAATACATTGATGAACGAAACACAAAAGAAGATGGAGTTGTTGGACTATATCGTCAATTCCGAGAATAATATAAAGAATAAAATAATGATAAATAGTATTTAAATATCATTATGAAAAATTAATGATAAAGAACGAGTTTAACATGTCTTAGGATTGTTAAAAATTATAATAATACGAGATTATAATCACACCTGAGAAGATAAAACAAACGAGATTAAACTTCTTTAAAAATAATATAAAATAAATAAAACAAAAAAAAATTCTTGATTGATCTTTTAATTGGAAACAGTTGAGGCATGTCTATACAAAATTTCTTTAAGATAGATTTTCGACCACTCTTTCGGTGCTCGAGTTTGTTGGTCATATGACTCATATGATACAACAACCAGATGATTAGAAGATCAACTACAATACCACAACAGTAGAGATCACAAACTATCATTGCCTTCGACTATCACCGAATTCTAAGGAGAGAAAATATTTTTCGAGAAAGTAAAAGTTTATTAATTTTGAGATATAGAAAATTTGTTCTAAAATTGTGTTTAACCTAGCAGGTTAACTCGGTATTTATAGAAAATTTTCAAGAGGGATTCACTCCAATTAGATATATTTTAATATTAAAAATTAAACAGAAAGATAATAAATATATTTTAATTTAAAATATTCAAAAGATAAAATCACATTTTACTATTCAAACTTAAATATATATTATTTTAATTTGAAATATTTAAAATGATAAAATTATCTTTAATAATTAAAGTTAAATAGATAAAAATACCTTTATTTTGACGTATTCAAAGAATAATTATCCTACTAATATTCAAATTAAAATTATCTTTTAATTTGCAATATTTAAAAGGAACATGAATTTAATTTAAGTATTAAATTCATCAATGAAATTCACTCCTTTTCCAATAGAAGTTACTAAAAGATCACTGACAAACTGTAAATTATAGTCGAGTTATTTGAGAAAACGATCAACAAACGCAAATCGCATATTCAAATTCATTCCAATGATACAAAATAGGAAAGATCATCATTATATCAAATAAGCGTCATCTTGATCAGTCATGACGATTGTCAAATCCAACACTGAGAAAAAGATAAATAAAAACTATGATCAAATGACATTATTTTTTATGTAGCATCAAATCGTTTGTTATGTCATCACATCACTATTGAGTTAATGCTTGAGTAATCAATACAAGAGCAATGTCAAAATTGAGTGATAAAATTAATTTAAAAAAATATTGACTAAAGCGGAAGTGAGAAGAAAAATGAGCGATGAAATTTATAATTTATCTTAAAAATAAAAAATAAAGAAAACAAATTTAAGAAATATTTAATGATCATCACACATGGGGAGCACCTTGACCTAATGCTCAAGCCCCCACTTTTCTACCTTTATAATTGAGGTCTTTAAATTATTTTTAATTATATAATTGGCATCTCTAAATTATTTTCAATCTCACTTTCTACCTTTATAATTAAGACCCCTAAATTCTTCAATCTAACTTTTTACATTTATACTAGAGGCCCCTAATTTTTTTAATTCCATAAAATTCTCAAATTCTCATCATTCTATTCATCTCTCTCGTTAACTCATATAATTTGGAATTAAATCTAATACTAATTTTTTCAAATCTCATTCTTCAATTATCATTTTTTTATTTGAAAGAAACTTAACAAATTAGACTAAGAAGACACTTGGGAGTATTGACTCTTAGATTGTTTATCAGTAGCTAATATCTGAAGTAGTTCAATAGGAGGAGTGACATAGGGAGTCAACCGGAAAATGGTCAAGCGAGGCTAGTTTAGCCAATTCATCAGCAACGTGGTTATTATTGCGTGATATCCATTTTAAGTCTGTAATCCAGTCATGGATATTAACAAAACAATAAAAATAATGTTTGACAATTTTTTTTATATAATTTATAAAGTAATATTAAATTAATTGTTCAAAGTAATAGAATATATTTTCATTCTATTTTGGTGCAACTACAATAATCCAGATTAGATACTGTAGAGGTAAGGGCAACTCTCTCAACCCAATTTGTTTAATTCGTAAATGTCATGATTCGTACATTGACCTTTACTTAGGGGATCTAATGTCTCATCCCACTAAACCAATTGGTTGTTGGTATATATTTTCATTCTATAATGACTAGGGCCGTAAATTAGAATAGACAAATCGCGAGCTACTCAAAATTGACCTGATCAAAGCTTAGTCAATACTCGAATCGAATGGACTCGACTCGAATTCTTAACAAGCCAAAGCGACCTACTTGGTACTCGACTCGAGAAGCTCGTGAGTTACTCAAAAAAAATATATTGAACTTTTAGATTTTGAAATTAAATTAATAATAATATTATCATTTGTATGTTATTTTTTAAGAAAAATACTATATAAGGCTTTCATGTAATTAAGGTTCGAGTTCGAATTTGAGTCGAGCTTCAATTTTTGATTTTGAGTGAAAATTGAAAATTTCAAGCTCGCGAGATTTCAAGCCAAATCGAGTTTTAATTCTTTATTTCGAGTTCGAGCCGAGTTTGAAAATTTTAAACTCTTAAGTTTTCAAATCAAGTTGAGCTCAGCACTAATTGAACTCAACTCGACTCATTTAATACCCTAACAATAACTTATTTTTGACTTTTCGTTCATAATCCAAAAATATCCGAGATGACTGATTTTTGCATGCCATAGTTTTAATTGTACACGAAAATTAACTCTGGCTCAATGTAACACCCCAATTTAGGGGATAAATTTAAGAAATTATAAAATGGTGAATTTAATTGGTATTTTTGGAAGAAATTGGGGATTAAATTGTAAAATTTCAAAGTTGGCAGACCATTTTAAGAAGTATAGAAAGTTCAGTGACTAAACTCATGGTTTACCCATTTTTATTATGGGATGAATTATAAACCCCATTTGCCGTGCCCAGTTTCCAGTTTTCCTCTTCCCCTCAACCCCTCTTTCAACTCTGATATACTCGCCATCAGACCTCCGATTGACGAGACGAAACCACCATCGTGTTCGTTGTCGAGAGAGGAACAAAACCCTCAAACCTTTCATCGTGAATCGTCGTCGTTTGTTGTTAATTTCAGTCGGAAGTATCGTCGGTAATAACTCGATTTCAATTGGTTTTTCGTCGATTCACGACGATCCGATGATCCGTTTACGACACCTCCTGCACCATCGTGTTCCTTGCATCGTTCCGAGTCTACCGGTGTCATCCTTGGTCTCCGTCGACGGCGGCACGTGAGGAGGTGAAGCGGTCAAAGTTTCCGATTCGTTGAAATCGAGCTCTCCGCCATTCAAAAATTTAAACCGAGCTTTTTAAGTATCTCGAAATCGCTTAAAATAATTTTTAGGATTTTTTTCGACATCAGGATACTGTTCACGAGCCGCCACGCGCCGCCACTGCGCGTGGGGAAGAAAAAATGACCGGTTTGACCGGTTTTGCTCCTATTTTGACCGGTTTGACCGGTTTTGCTCCTATTTTGACCGGTTTGACCGGTAATAACCCGACCCGACCCGTTGACCATTGTTGACCAAAACTTTGACTAGCTTTAACCGGGCATTAAACGACCTTTGACTTTGACCGAGTATACCTATCATGTCATTTTTCGACGTTCCAAATCCAATTTCACAGTCTGTTTTTCGAAATTCGAACTCAAAGGCCTCGAAATTTCCGGTCAAACCCGTTGACTTTGATTTTGACCGAATATTCCAAATTTTTGAAAAGTCATATTTTATGCTTTCGACGTCCTGAATCCGAATCCGAAGTCCGTTTCGCCAAATTCAAACCCGATAAGCTATTTTCACTGATTTATCATCCGATTCGATCCGTTTATCGTAATTAAGCTCCGTTTTTTATATAATTTATGTTAATATGTATCTGAGGAATTATTTGAAGTAGAATTGAAGATCAAAGGCGTTCGAATGGAATTTTTATGGTCGATCAGTATTACACGGAAATCGAGGTAATACTTTACTACCTCTTTATGCTTTATGGAACAT